CCAAGTCCTTTTCAAACCAGTGTGCCCCATAGCTCCCCTAGGGCAGCACCCACAGAGACAGAGCTACCCACTGCTCAGAGGGGAGCACTGCTGAAGGGCTTGCTCCTGGACGGGATCAGCCTTGCCCATGCCAGGGCAGAGGCAGCAGTGCCCTGGAAACAAGTGCCCACAGTGGCCTCTGACACAGAGGCCAGCACACTTACCCTTCCTCTGTCCCCTCTTTTAGCAACTAAATCCCTCACCATTCAACACTGACTTCCACTGCATGTTAGCAGATACACCCTCATTTCCTCAAGATGACCACACATGCGATTCAAGCCCAAACCAGCTGAAGCTCCTGCACCAGTGTCTGAAGAGGACTGTTAACATTTGGTCTTGCTAATAAGAGCAATCAACTTAAACAAGCGTGGCTTCTCTGCAGACCCATCGCCCATGCTCACAGCCCTTGTGCCTGCACAGCTCTGGTGAGTAAGGTCCTGGGACAGGGCACAGAGCTGCACAAACCCCTAAGTGCACTCAAACACGCACAGGCCAGTGTCTGTGCCTCCAGATACTGGAAGGTGAGGAGCTTTTTGAACAAACTGGCAAGAGCAGCAGAGAAACACTTTCTGCCTCCCACTTCTGCCTCACACAAATCCAGCAGTTCATCAGCCCAATGCAGCATGTTCCCAACAACAGCTCCTCTCTCAGCCTACCTTTACTACCCCAGGACTGGGGCTGTAGTCAGTCTCCAAAGAGGGCAATGCTGACAAGTGTGGATGAAATGACTGCAGGCAAATAACCATCAGCTTCACCCCCACCAGCCAGTATTTCCTGTCTTGCTCTCCCTCCCACAAGTACCTCTGAGCCCTCACTGGCTAAGTCTCCCAATCAGGACACAGGCTCTAGAACTCAGGAGCTGTTTTTAAGTAATCACAAATGCCATACTGCATTTCATTTAGCCTTCTGAGTCCTTTTGCCTTCCTCCTGCATACAGCAGAATGACAGATTTTAAGAGCAACCTCTTCCTTTCAGCAAAAAGCAAGATTCCTGTGCACTCTCCCAAACTGACAAGCTGGGCTTTTGTGGAAAGCACCAAATATCACGATGCCTACGACGCTCCCTGCTATGATTGGTCTGTAGCAGTCAATATCCCTGCACAGGGATGAACAAGACTGCTGGAGCCAAGGGCACCAGGTTGTGCTTCCCCCCTTCCAGGTGTCAGATATTTCCCAGTTTCCTCCCAAAGCAGGGACTGCAGCCAGGAGTGAGTCTCCAGCTATGCTGGCCAAAGATGAGAAAGGGCACTGCAAAGAACACAGGAACGGACGTGAGCAAGCAGGCACAGCTGCCTGCCAAAGAAGACATTTGTCCCTCCAAACGTGAATAATCTGCAGAAGTACAGAGAGTGCAGGGTGATGTAAAGCAACATGGAAACTTGGCCTGCAAATTTGAATGTGTACAGGTTTATTCTCTCTCATAAACACACTAGAAGTCACATGCTCTCCGTGTCCACCTCAGCATTTGAAAAGTGTGTGTTAGAAGGATCTTGGTGAGAACGGGCTTCCTGGAACTAGAATGGGAACTAGCACCAAACCACCTGGCCCGTGTCCTGGCAGGCAAAGCTGGGGCTCACTGCCCCTGAAGTTGTGAGCCTGCCTGTAGCCAGTCAGCACCCTGCTGCAGGGTGAGAGGGGGGCTCTCTGCAGTCAGAATGAAGGGCTCTCACCCAGAACCAACACCCACCACTGACAACAGAAGTGGCTGTTTCCCAACAGAAGCAGCCAAGCACACAACTGTGCTGACTACTGTAAAAGCACAGCCTCCTCCAGCAGGAACAAGGCAGCCATGGAACAGGGCAACACAGCTCATCTGTTACAGACAGCAAAGATCAGCTGCAGCCTACCTACGAACTGAGAATGAATGAGGAAGGCAGCAAAGCCTAGATATGTCTAATGCCTGCAGGCTCCTTCAAGAAGCCTAGAGGATATTCTCATAGCTGGCACAGCAAATCACGCCTCCAAAGTTTGTGCATTAAAAACTCCCCACTCATACACCAAAAAAAGCCAGCCTAAACCTTCAACACGTGCAGGGTAAGTGCTGGGGCCTGATCTGAGGCATGCAACACAAACCCCCATACAGTTTCGGTGTCTGAAACTCAGTGCTGAAAGCACAAGAAGTAGTGGCTGGTGTATATGAAGGAAAGAAGAGCTCATATGCATCAGATGTGCTTTTTCTTGACCATCACTCAGCACTGTGAAAACTGGCATCGCTCTCCGCAGCTTCGTGGACACCATCAAATGCCATGCTGCAGCTCCCATTGTTCCAGTGGGGCCATTCAGTTGCTCACGTCCCTCCAAAAAGACACCTGAGGCACTATGGGAATTCAGGGCTTACTGAGGGGAAGGACTTGGCATAGCATAGCATCCAGACGGTTTGGGTCTGCCTGCCTTTGAAAGGTCCATCAAACCCAAAATCCCAGCTGAACACTATAGCCGGTAACATCCAAGAACAGGAGACAAACTAAGCAAGCTACCACAGTCCACACCCTGCAGTCAGGTGTGCAAGCCACACTTGGACCAACAACACCTCTCCCACGAAGGACAGTACGAAAAGAGCTGGTTGTTAAGGCAAGGAAGAGGCAGCCCGTGCTGGAAGGAGTCACGGGCCTGGGGGGCGTGCAAGGGAGCACGTGCACGCGTGGAGCTGCAGGACAGGCAGGGGAGGAGGTCAGCACCGACACGGAAAACAAATTGTTCTTCATTACCATCCATTATAAGAAATGTAACATGCCAGGTTTTTATGGTTCCTTTTATGGCCATTAATAACAATGGTGGCTCTGAGAGCTATGCTGTTGCTATGGATAATTAAATCTTATGCTGAGGGCAGGAGCGGAGCCGCCCAGGGCAGCCAGATCACCGCTCCCACGTGGAGCACTACAAACCTGCTCGGTGCCGAGAGGGAGCGGGATGGGCTTCGCTTGGGTGAAGGTGCTGGCTCCTGGCCAGTGCCAAAGAGACACGAGGAAACAACATCCCCCTCAGCACTGCCAGGCCTGTCCCTGCTCCCACAGCGGCACATCCATGCGGGCTGGTGCCGACACAGGGCACGCAGCCCACGGCAGCACAACGCAGACTGCAGCCACCAGGAAAGTGGCCCACGGCCAGAGCTGCACATCACACTTCTGGAGCCCGGGTAAGGCAGCTACAGAAGGCAATGTGCAGCACAGACATCTCCAGAAAGCCAGCCCCAGTAACTGCTTCAGCAGTCAGAGATTCTGAAAACTGACATGCTCAAGAGGGGCTGAGGACTCTTCTGCAGGCTGGCAGTAGTTTTACTTTTATGAATCACAAGCAAGTAGAACAATAAATCAACCCCTCCGGTGCATGAAACGGCCAGCCTGAGAATTAAGACACAAAGTCAAGGAATCAAGAAGCTTGGATTTCCCAGAGTGACATTAATTCTCACCATAGTCCCACAGGATGCATTTTAGTTTATGCCCTAATACACAGCATTAATGTTGTTGCAGGAACCTGAGCCTCTGCACATCCTGGCTTCTGCATTTTGCTCCCAGTGGTCCCTCTTCCTTCTGGCAGCCAGGCTCCCACTCACACAAAGCTCTCTCAGACCGACGGGCTCTCACATACACCTGAGTTTTAAGTGTTTAGTCCATTGTTCATCCACACCCCCCACCCTCAATAAAACAAAGCAAATCTGGGAGAAAAGCAAGCCCAGGTGCAGCAGCTTCTGGGCCAGGAGGGGGTACAGCCCCAAACTGCTTCTTGTGCACTCTCCCCACTGCAGCAGCCTCTGTCCAATGATGGCATTTTCCACTACATCCCCCAACCCTGCTCTCAGGTGTGCTTAGGTGCTACCCGATTTGAGCCTTCCCACAGTGCAGCCAGGGCTGGTGGCACAGGCAGGGCTGTGGCTGGCTCACCCAGGCACACCAGATGAGTTTCCAGGAGGTGTGTGGTTTCACACAGATGCAAAGGCTCAGGCACATGTACCCTCCTTACACTCTCCTTACATCAGAGCCTCTCAACAAATTCCACTCTGACTTACATAAAAGCAGCTGCAGAAAAGATCTATTAGCACAGACACAGGTCAGCCTGACAGACTCGGCACTTCAGTCCAGGGGTTGATCTCAGCCTGTGTCACTGTGGTTCAGCAATAAGGTGGGGAGGACTTTGCTGTGCAGCTTTCCAACAAGAGCTGCAGCTACCCAGCACGCTTGTCCTTTGACAGTTTTTCATTAAACTGTGGGTACTTTAGTGAATGCTTTGTGCCTTAAATACCTCTTATTAGCATTTGAGTGTCTTCCCTCCTTAGCAAGCTTGCAAGGCTCCCATTAAGGGTAATGAGAGACACTCCTAGGAGGCAAGGAGAATATATACCCCAACATCTCCTGGTTATGATCTACTCTAGCCAGGATTGCAGAGCATCATCTGGTAGGGATTTATTACAGAGGCATTTTACAACAGTATCTATTATAAGTTATTAAGGAATGGAGCAGCTTCTACTGTTCTTTCATTAAATATTAATAGAACATTTATAAACCAATCCTTAATTTAAAGTGTTACCTTTAATCAAAGCCCTGGTGATAACAATGCAGCCTTTAGTAAGGCCCTTCTGGTAGAACATAAACCTTTCACACTGAGATTCTATGCACCTGAGGGTGCATTCAGGCCCAGAGGAGCTCTGCCTGTTGCCAGCACAGGCAGGACACGCTGGGCTGGCAGCTGCAGGTCTTGCTCCATGGTGCTGCTCACTGCAGGCACTGCCTGGAGCCAGGCAGCACCCAGTGTGGTTGTCAAGCTTCCTCCCCAACACCCAGTCACACCCATGGCACGGGCACCCCGGCATCAGCAGTCAGGCACAGGCCTGCTGGCACACAGCCCTGCTGGCACACAGCCCTGCTGGCACACAGCCCTGCAGCCACCAGACACAGCACACGTGGCCACGGTCTGCTCTCCTGGCACCCCCCCTGGGCTGGCCCAGCCCAGCTGGGTGCTGCTCACCTGTTTTACTGTCCACAGTGAAGTGCTGCTCGCCCTCCAGCACACTGTAGACTACCCGGGCACTGCTTCCATAGGTGGGGTCATCAGCATCAGATGCCATCACCTGCATCACAGAGGTGCCTGCAGCAGAGACAAGCAGGAAGACAAACGGTCAGGGAGGAGGTGAAAAGAGGAATGTAAACCTCAGAACAGGAGAGCGGGAGCCAACAGTCACCCCCTGCACGTGCTGATGGAAATGAGAACAGTTGGGTGTAAATGCAGCACTGCCTCCCCTCAAAAGCCTGAGAGCCAGGACTCCAGACCTGCTGCGAGTGCCCCTCTTGTCTTGCGGGGCGGCAGGAGGCACAGGACCTTGGGCTGCACTGGGGCTGCTGTCCAGGCAGGATCTGCTCTTCAGGAGATCACGAGTCTGAACAGCTGGCAGCCCGTCTCCCAGCAGAATTCTGGTGGAGCATCTGGGAAGAAACTGGGGATGAGATGTTATCACCAGAGCTGCCCCTTGCCTGTCACCATTGAGCAACATGGTCACCTCCAGCCTGTAGAGGGACCTCCCAGCCAGGGCCTGACCCACACTGCAGCCCTGCATCTCTGCGGCACACAGGCCTGCCAAGGGACAAAAGCCACGGGAGAGGACAGGCTTCTGCTTGCCCAGAGCCAGGCCCAGCACCACGTCCTCATGCTCTACACGTAGCTGGGCAGGAGGACTATAAATTGGATAAAAGTCCATCAAATGTCTGCAATTAAGTTATTGATTTTCAACACTGCCTCATTAAACTGCGTGCTTCACTCCAGCCATCCCTGTGATGGCTTAATTTGACATGATGTTCAATTTGACAGAAGCAAGGCCCAGGACATGACAATGAGGCCAGGAGGAAAGGGATGGAGATCTTCAGAGTCAAAAGAAGGGAGGAGGGAGGGGAAGCCTGCCTCAGATACAGACACCTCTGAAGAAGGAAATGGTGTGACAAAAGACCTGTGAGAACAGTTCTGCCTCTAGCAGCAGACTCAGAGCATCCCTGTCTCAGAGGTCAGGCACTGGCACCAGTCACCTCTCTGGTGCCATGAGGCACAGGATGAGAAGAAAAGCCCTGAGCTGCTCATAGGAGAGATCAAACCAACTGGGAAACTCCCTGCTGCAAGATATTGCCAGGTCCAAGGGAGGACAAGGCTGGCAGAGAAGCTGTTAATTTATAACAGATAAGATCCCCCAGCAATGACTGCAGTTAAAAGGCAGGTTTTGTTTCAGAGATGACGCCAGGGCACAAAACCAGCCCAAACTGAAGGAGCCAGGAGAGGCTATTTCCCAGCTCACACTGCTGTACCCAGCAGCTCTGCTCTGCCTCATGCATCTCTTAGGGCTGCTGTGCCTTAACCGAGGACCAGAGGTACCACTCTCTGGTTCAGAATCCTTTCTGTTCTGCAATGCCTCTACTTACATGCTGCAGAGACAATCTCACAGGCTGGTCTTGGCTAGACCCACGTCACAAATAACTCAGCGCCAGGCTTACTACTAGTTGTAAGCATCTGAGTCTAGACCCATTACATTCCCAAACACCAGAGGCATGCACAAAGTCAGCAGCAGCTGAGTCCTCTGTTCCCACATCACATTGGGCAGAAATGGAGCTGGAACCATCCAGATGGAGGAGAGGGAGCTCCAGTCCCTTATGCTTTTCTGTTTCCCTGTCAGGAAACTACAAGCCCACAGCTTGCAGGCAAGCCAGGCAGCCAAGGCCCTTCTGCACCAGCCCCACCAGGACTTGGGCAGGAGGAGACAGTGGAGATAGCAATGCTGCTGCGAGGAGCTGGGATGCACATGCTCCCCCAGTTCATTTTGCTTCTGATCTCCTGGACACGATGTTAACTGAAGAAACGAGCAGTTACAATGGTTGCTTTTCATTCTACCTGGCTGCAGCTTTACTGATAACATGAGAATCCCCCTCACTGGTCTTCAGCAACAAGCTAGTTCAAGTCAACCTCTTCATGCTTTGCTGTGTCCAGTGAAGTTATGGTGCATCCCTGCCAGGCACATCCAGATTACACTGCAGCAACACCAGCTCCCAGTGCAAACAGCTGTTTAAGAAATACTATTGCAGCATTTCCTTGAAAAGGTCTGTCCTGCCCCCTCCTCACCTCCAACACACAACTCTTCCACCAGGTATGACCTAAGGCAGATCAGCCCCACACCAGCACCTGCATTGCACATTGCCTCAGGCACCCTGGCACATTCCCTTGGGAAGCTTCTGATTAGAAAGCTGAGAAAGGAGAGATCAAGAGAAGGGAAAATACAGGGCACCAGGGTCTCCAAGCATCCCTCTCTAGCTGTGGCAGAGAAGCCCTGCTAGAAATGCTGGAAGTGCCAAAGTCTGAGAATCACAAAAAGCAGCACCTGCTGCTGGCAATAGGTGAGGCTCCTTCTGTGCCCAGCCTGGCAGCAACGAGCTGAGAGCCCATGCCCAGTGTCCACAGCAGCACCTGCACCCCTCAGCACCACAGGCAGAACCCGATGACCTTGCACAAACATCCCACACTCCAAGAACCACTTGCTCTCACCCAAGTATCACAGATGCAAAGGATCAGGAGATCAAAACACACTCACACATACATGAGCCCGTATTTTTTTGCCTGCACTTGCCCTGTACACAGTGTCACCCAGGTCAGGACTGCATGTGTGCAGACAGAGCAAGTGCCCCGAGGACTATGTCACAACCCTCCAACCCAGCCATCTGAGTGCTGCCACTCCACAAGTGCCAGCCCAGTGACCATTAAGAAGGGGACTAGCCACTAAAAGTTTGCATCAGACTCTGCATCTCATGCTACATCTGCCCAGGTGCAGTCACTCCATTGCATAATTCACCCCCTAACCCATTCCTCTCAGCCAGAGAGCTGTACTTGTGTCCCAGTGTGCCCCTGAACATTGCAACGCTGCAGCAGGGCCCGAGTCCAATGGGAAGGCATGACCCATGCCCACCCAGAGCTGGATTTTGTTTCCTTGTTTTAAGCTGTATCCTGGGCACACAGGTGGGTTCCTGCTCTCAGTTTTGCAGTGCCACCACAGAAGGCTCCTGGCCCACAGGGCTGCCTCTGGCTGCTGGGTGCTCCCAAGTGCTGGAGCAACAGGGCTGCAGAGTGGCAGATCCAGGCAGTAGGGACCCAGGTGTGAGCCCCATGTTTGGGTCCAGTGCTCTCCACTCTAGTGCAAGGTGAAACCAAGCAGCACGAGGAGCATTGCAGCAAGGCACCTTCTGCTCAGGGACAGCAGGATCCTGGCACACTGCCCTCAGGCTGAAGCCAGCAGCCCCGAGGATGATGAAGGCTCTCTGCCCTTACCCACCTGCTCTCACAGCATTCCACTAACAGATGAGCAACAACAGGAGGGTAAGGAACATTATCCCCACCTTGTGCCTTGACTTCTAGTCTTTGAAGATGCATCCCTGCCTGACCATGGCCACCTATAGGATACCAAGATTCCAGCTGTCCAGCATCTTCTCTTAACCCCTCCTTCCCTCATTTCCACTCCTGCCCCCCATCTCTTTCAATGTGAAGAACAAAGGCCCTGACTTCCAGTTTAACCTGATTCCTCATTCCTGCAGAGACAAGCCTAGGAACACTGGCTCCCACCCCTGCCTGCTCTGATATTGGTCCTTGCTCTCCAAGCACAGCACTGCCCACAGCAAGTACAGCACGTATGACTTTTATTTAGTTTTCTGGCATGTGCCTTAGCCATAAAAGATACAATAAATAAAATCTTAACATTCACCATGTACTATATAGCCCACCTCCCATAACGAGGAAGCATGAACTTGTACCCAGAGAGAATTAGATGTGTAAAATGAGGTAAAGACCTCAGTTCCTCCCCTGGCCAGCTCACCTCACAGAACTAGAGGAAGCCAATAATTCCACACAAAAATCAACCAGTCCAAGCCCATCTCTTACTCTCCTGCTGCAAAGGTGCAGCAGCTGAAACAAACTGTTTCCCCCAGAGGAAAAGGAAGCCAAGCCAAGACCCTTGCATCCTCCACAGCCTGCCCTGGGGCCCAGAGCACCCGGGGGACCGAGTGCCCAGAGGGCTGGCTGCAGGAGGGGACACAGACCCTGGCTGCCAGCCATCCTGCAGCTCCAGGGGCCCTGCCTGGGCTGTCCCTGTTCCACACCCTGAGCCATCCTGGAGACCCTGGATGTCAGCCAGCCCCTGACTCCGCAAGGCCAGGGTGCTTAATCCCTTCTGCTGCACCCAGCCCGGAGCCAGGATCAGCAGCATGGAGAGGAGCTGCTGGCACCCAGCTCTGAAAGGTGCCTGGCAATGCCTCCGAGAGCTGGTGGGATCGAGGAGCTGTTTCTCCACAAGGACCTCTCCCCCTGCAGCCCTGAGCACAGACCAGCCCTGCTTAGCTGCCCGCTGCAGCACGAGGCCCTGGCAAACAGCAGCTCAGCCCCAAGTGCCTTCTTCTGGATGGACAAGGCCCTGCAGGTCCTCAGCTCTGCAGAGCACCTTTGAAATACCAATGCAGAGCTGTCCTGGCAGCCATCACCACCACCTTCACAGGACCCAGAGCCTCTCTGGCCAGCTTTGGCAGCCCGGGGAGGTGCCATCCGACTACCCGCAGAAGGCTGATGGCTCCACACCACTTGACACAGGCCGCTCGCTCCAAACACCTTTAGCTAAAAGACATGTTGGCAGGCAAATTCCAAACATATCTGAGAGGAAAGAGGCCCTGTACTGAATCCACAAGCAAGCCGATGACCTGCCACTCCCCAGGGACAGAAATGCAGCCAGGCTCCAGGCCTGTAAAGAGGCAAACAGGCAGCAAGAAAAGCCAGCGCTTGGTAATTCTGCCCGCCCTCCCCATGGCAGCCCGCCCGCCCTGCTGCAGCTGGGACCCCCGGGCTCCTCTCTCATCAGCTCTAGGGCTGCAGCCTGCACCTCCAGCTCAGCCCGGGCCTAAGGGACAACCCTCTCCCCACACGGAGCACCTTGCTGTGCAGATCCAGCCAGCACCAGGACAGCACAGGGTCATTTCAGCCCTGCGGAATATAAAGGACCCTGAGGAGTGCTTTGTCATGCAAAGCCACACACCCTGGGCTGATGCCAGAGCAGGCACTCCCACCGCAGGAACCTGGTGCTGTGGGGGCGGGAGGCACCTGAGATTTTATAAACAATGCAATTTACAGCTTTCATCTTGCCCCAACATATGCAGTGGCTGATACACCCCACAAACCAGCAGGCAGGACATCAGGGAAGCAAATAAACCAGAGGGGATTAAAAATTACTGGAGCAGAATTGAGTTTCTTGCAATCTCAGGAACATCCTGACTTGGTAGAAAGCCAAATCTCACCCAGGGGAGATTCACTGCAGAGTCCTCATGCCCTGGAGGATGAACCCAAGGGAGCTGACCTGGCTGTGATGGAATTGCTCAAACATACAACCCTGGAAACATCCCTTGGGATATCTGGCCAGAGAAACCCATTGCACAAGGCGCCTCAGGCCCTGGCACCAAGCAGGTAAACGTGGTGCCTTGGGAGAGCAAAGCAGAATATTGAATTAAGGGGGCAGAGGTTCCCTGCGGGCCTTAGCACATCCAGGCTGGATGAGAGGGTGTGCAGCAGGTCTCACGTGTGCAGGGCAGAGGCTCAGAGCTTGCACCATGGCCAAGGGTGCAGCACAGAAGGGGCAGTCTCACCGAGGACCAACAGGCAGGACAAGCCCCAGCTGTTTGTTGCCCCAGCAGCTTCCAGATTCACACAAGTCTTTTGAGCAATTTCTCTCAAGGAAAAAACAAGATCAGACTGCCTGCAAGTGTTCTGGCTGCATGTTAAAGTCTTTTTCTCTGCTTCCAGAGGGAGGATTAAACAATTTCTCTTCACAATAATCACTTCTGCATTCAGCCAGCTTTGTGCTAGAGCCAGGGCTTGACCCTGAGTTTCTGTATGTACAGCCAAATCGTCTCTAATCTGGACTTGGTGCTACACAGAGAAATAAGGAGAGCAAAATACACCAAGGGAGGAGTTCTGACGAGAAGATGCACGTTTCCTAGCACAGCCCTCACCCCAAAGAGCTCCCCAAGCAGCCCAGAAGTGAGCTCTGGGCTGCACCACCCACTCTGTGCAAGCAATAGAGTTGTCTTGTAGGAGGCACTGTGTGCTGGATTTGGGCTTATGCCTGTGTGTCGCAGACAGCTGTAAAGCAAACCCCAGGGAGCTCTCAGGAAGGGAGTCCAAAATGCAGCTAATTTTAGCATCTCCTGTTACATGGTGAAGCTCCTGCAGCTCCCTGGGTTAGCTCCAAACATCACCTCTGCCCCTTACACGTGCCAGACTCTGGCCCTACCTTCCTGACCATCTTGCATCTGCCATGTTTGATCCATCAGATAGCAATGGCAATATCTTCCACGTTGCCTTTGCAGAGGTTTACAGTGACTCTGGAGGAGTTCATGGAAGACAGACATTGAAGCTGACTAAACCCAAGGAAACCTCTCACAGCTGAAGAAATCCCCAAGCTGAAACCGGTTGCTGGCTGGGAGAACATTAAGAGGAGCATCACACATGCTGTGTGTGCTGTTCCTCCTCCTGCATAAGCATCCACCTTGGCCACTGTCAAGACAAGAACCTAGAACAGAGGCCTTCAGTCCACCCTGACATAGTCGTACAGTCTCAAGCAGCACGTGTGCTGTCACTGCCAAAATGTGCTGCCCTGGCCCCAGCCAAGAGCAAGGGGCAGGTGTGCTGCAGAACATCCCCTGCCACTCTGAGAGAGTGCACAGTTCTCTCATTTGTTATTCCCTCTTAGACACTCGGAAATCAAATGACTTTCCCTCCCAATTAGTACTCCTCCATTATGCAAATCATGTCCTTTGATCTGCTTCTGCTGTCACAGAGCGGATCTGACCGTATTTGTTTTATTCTGCGTAATGCCCCAGGAAGGTAACCACCTCTGGGAGCTGGAACTATGCTCTTGGCAGGGAATGGAGAACTGTGGCTGATAGCTGCCACAAGTGAGAAGAAAAACCACCCACTTGGGCAGCCCCAGGTAAGGTCTGGGAAGGCAGGGAGAAGGGGATCACCCTTCACTTTTCCGGCCGGGCTGCAGAGCAAACGCTGTCAGAGCAGCAGAGACAGGGACCAAACAGCTCCCTGCTGGAGCACAGCCATGTCCCCTGGGTGCCCCCATCACAGCCCCCTCCCCAGCAGCGAGCACAGCTGAACCAGAAACACTGGTGACCTAGGAAAACATCTGAACCCAAGCGGGGCCGAGACCAGGCGTGTTCACCAGCACGTCCCCAGCCTTTGATCTTGACCTACCAGTAGCCGACGCAAGCTCTCCCCAGGCTGCCCAGCCTCTCTACCCCTTCTTGGCCAGTACAGAAGACTAGCTCCAGCCACATTCAGGAAGACAGCAAGGCATGCTCCCAATTCACTCTTACAAAAATGCTTCTCAGGTCTAGGGGAGATTGTCCCTTCAGATCAGAAAAAGTAAATGTCACTGCTGAACACCAACCACAAAAAAAGTCACGATCACAGCTGCACCTGGCCTTGATTCCATAAAAGGAGCCCTCCCACACAAACAGGACCTGGCAGGGTATTTCCCCCAAGAAAGTCCTGAACTTCACCTCCTTGGCTGAGGTAGCATCCTATGTCCTGCATCCTCAGCCCTTCCTACAGTGGCTGAAGCTCAACTTCAACACACCAGGTCCATGACCAGCTCCAGTTCCCTCTGTCTCCACACCAGGGCCATAGGGGAGGAGCAAGGCAGCTGCAGAGCCCAGAAGGTTGAGGGGACGGCTACTTCTCAGGCTTGCTTGTTTATGCTTTCACAGGGTGTGTCCACCCTGCTCCTGGGCAAAGCACAGGTAAGCTGAGGGGAACCATGGAGGGGGGGCTGGGGAACTGCAGCAGCCACACACGGGTCGCCTCCAGCTCTGCATCCATATCACAGGAGACCAGGCAGCAGCACAACCTGGATACGCTGCGTGAGTCTCTCCCTGCCCTGCTGGCTGGGTCATCTCCAGGGTTAGGCTGCTACAGAGGAGCCCTTACTCTCCCTGGGATGGCCAGGACACAGAAAGCTCCAAGGCTGCCACAGGCAGACAGACATCAGCCTGGTAAGCAGAACAGGCTTATGGCTCCAGCTCTCCTCTCTGAGCATGCAGCTTGGAAGCACAGCCCACGCCATTCACCACACTTCTCTTTACTTTTAAGTTCTGAGTATTTTAATTTGCAGGAATCGCCTCCTTTCATGTTGTGAAACCATGTTTCTTTCTCCCTCTGATCTCCAATTTCGCACAGAAACTGTCTCCTTTGATATGTCTTGTTCACATCAGTCTGATCAGGCAGCTCCATAATTGTTAGTGATTTTCAAAGAACTGGGATCCTTGTCTAATACTCAGAGTTGAGAATTCCTTCTTTTTTAAATGTTGTTCAAGCAAAATAGATTAATTTAATTTCTTTCTTCCCTTTGGGAACAGGATGCGTCCCGCTTTGCTGCCCACATGCTGTCTTTCATTTCTCCAGGAGCACATGGCTGTAGTTCAAGGTGTCACTCTGACTCTGGAAAGGATTTGTGCAGGTAGATGGAAGAGGAAGGAGAGCTTAGGATGCCTCAGAGGAGAGTTGTTCTCCATTTGTCAACAGAAACCCAGGCAGCAGCACTCCTCTGGTGAGGGCAATTCCTGCACATCTGTGCTGAAGGCCATGCACCAGTCTCACAATATGCTGCACATCAACCATGGGAGCTGGAGCTCTGTCCTCAGGCAGCACAGACCTGAGCATCATCCCCTGCACTCCGCTCCCAGGATGCCTCTTCAGCCAGACATTCCTGCACAGCACAGCCAGACCCAGCAGTTGGGTTCATCTGACCTGCCAAGCCCCTCGTGTGGCTCAGCCCTGCCCCCCCAGCCCTGGCCCCCTCAAGAGTTCTCTGCCTTCCTGGCACTCACTCTCCCCCTCGCTGACAGTGTTGGGGACCTGCCTTCTCTTTGATGTCAGCCAGTCTGTCAGTCTTTGGCAGGCTGTCTTCTACCTTGATGCAGCCTTTTGGAGCACAGCGATTTATAGTTCCCAGGCTGCAAGCACTTGCCTACACGTGCAGCCTGCCACACACTGTGGCTAGTCAGCCGGTGATAACAGATAGCCCGGCGGGGATGGGCAGGGAATGGCCTGACACTGGGCGGTGCAGCAAGCCAGCCCCTCCTCCCTGGACTCAAGCTGTGCTCAGCAGAGTGGGTACCCACCATCAGGCCAGCACAGGGAGCAAGGGCAGCAGTACCGCAGCTCATGCAGCACCTCCTGACACTCGGGCGAGCCCAAAGCTCATGGCCCAGCTCTGCCAGCCCTGGTGGGGTGGACTTCTGCAGCATCGTGGCACCAGCACTTCAGCGAGGCTGCTCACCAGTGTGCTTAAAAGATGCCTGCCCGGGGGGAAGGGGATGGGCAGGCTTGCAGTAACATGAGGAAACCACACTTCTGTCACAGGAGACAGGAATTCCCCAATCTCAGCCAACAATGCCTGGGCCTTCTGAAGAAGGCTGGAAGCCAGCTGTAAGGCTCAGCAGTGCTACGTGGCCACGGACAAGGGTATGGCTAGGCAGCCAAGGGACTCTGGAGAGCAGCAAAGCGGCACCCAGACGATGGCCCAAGGAGTGGCTGGGGCACAGGCAGTTGGAGAGGGAGAAACACCACTCAGGCTACCCTGCTCAGGCTACCCTGAGCCACAGGCAGCCAGGAGCCCCTCAGCACCCAAGGGCTCAGTTGACACTTCCCCCCTGCCTCTGCCACCGTTTGGGAGTGAGAGGGCTCTGCAAAATCAGGGTAAATGCACAGCGGGCAGCTGGCGCTGCCATGACCTGTCCCCAGGGCACAGCTTAGGGCTGAGTGCTCAGCCACAGGCTTGCAATCAGCTCAGAGGATTTATTAACTTGTTTTCCTTAAGCCACCTATTTATTTTTCCCTTTTGGCTCCAAAACTCTGATCTCAGCTGGAATCCCTGGGATTTGCATGCAGTTTTGTGGGGTGCAGTAGGCTCAAGGTTTGACGGGAGACAGGGGCAGGCTTCCCAACCCACCTCCTCCCACCCAGGAGACCTACCAACGGGGGACAGCTCAGCCACGCTGCCAATGTAGGGTCCCTCCAGGAAGCGTGGCTCACTGTCGTTGATGTCCTGCACCTTGATGATGAACTCTGACTCAGGCTCCAGCAGCTGGTCCGTCTGCCGGTCGCGAGCCTGAGCCCGCAGTGTGTAGAAGGTTTTCTGCTCCCGGTCCAGGCGCTCGGTGGCGTGGATGTCACCCGTGATTTCGTCGATGAGGAAGATGGTCCCTGCGCCCTCCCCGGAGATCGTGTACTTGATGGAGCCGTCCCCCTCATCCGAGTCTGAGTGGATCTGAAAAAAAAGAGAGAGAGGGTTGAAGCAGTCTGGGGCCATAACTGTACCCCTGTGGCTGAGATGGGTGTGGAGCCTCTGCACAAGGTGCCCACGGTCCCTGTGTGATGCCCATCTGCTTCACTCTGTTACTGTGGGACTCCAGAGAGGGACAGAGCAAATGATGACTGTGCATGGAGGAAACCCCAATAAACTGCAACTCCCCTCCTGCCCACGCCACCATACGACGGGCAGATCACTAATCCCACCAGCAGGCATCCATGGCACAAACCAGGGAACTAACCCACCGCCGTGAGGTTAGAGGACGACAGAAAAGGGAAGGACAACTCAACAGCACTCCGAGAAAGGAAAAGAGGCTTCCATGTGGGCAAGGATCCGGGACCCTGGCAGCGTGGGAACACCCCTCCCAAGCTGCACAGCAAACCAGGGCATAAAGGCAGCTCACCACCAGCACCCGTCCACACCTGCCCAGGCAGCTGCCCAGAGCCTGCCGCGTCCCGCTCGGGTGCTTTGAGGCTTGGGGGGCAGGGCAGGTGACCTCTAGGGCCCTGGAGGGTCCTGGGGGGGGAAGCAGTGATTCCTCCTCCTTCCTCTTCCACACTCTTTAACAGAGGCAGGAGGTGGGTGCTCCAGTCTCTTTGCCTCTTTGGGTCTGGGGAGAGCACAGCGGGGCCACATCCAGGCGGCTCTGAGCAATCCTGGGCCATCCCAGATCTGGGTTCTGTGTTTACTTTGTTTTCCTCCCATCTTTGTGTATGTATATCTACCTCCCTTCTTGCTTTCTGTTCCCTGTTAAACAATAGACTTTATTTTTATCAACTTCCAATCAGTGCAAAGTCTCTCTTACTCCTGACTTCCCTTGTTTATCTCTCCGTCTGGGGAGAACTGGGGGATAGGGAGGGGGAGCACAAATTCTGCTCCGTGGGGTCCTGCCCTGAGCCCTTGAACGGAGACACCCGGCCACGGTCGCCCTTCATTTCCTGGGCAGTCCGGGCTGACAGGTCTCCCTGCCTGAAAGCTCACCACAAGCTGCACGTCTGTACTGGGTTTGCACGGGAAGGTAAGAGGGTATGGGCGTGTGAGGGCGTGTGTGTGAGCTCAGCCACCCACATCATCACCACCCAGAGCATCACAGCCAGAGCTCCCACCCGAGCAAAGCCTGCAGGAGAATGTGGCAAATCAGGCCCATGGTCAGGATGAAAAACAGACCCTGTGGAAGATGCTTTCGTAGCCAATCTCTGCTTCATCTTCCAATTAAGAAGATGTTTGAAATTAGGAAAAGAAAGGGTAAACAGCAGCTCCCCACAGACCAGGAACTGACTGGAATCCAGGCCAGACGTCCAGAGATAATTTTATTGGTGGCATTAAACTGAGTTATGAGGTTTTTACAATCCAGCCACTTATAAGAAATCTATTAACAGTAACTGGACAGGCAAAATGCATCTTGACAGAGAGCAGCATGGGCATTAATTGGGACAATCCATAACGGGACAGGCCCCGGAAAGGTTTCATCAGACGCCTTCATTTGCTTCCTACAATTTCTGCCTAGAATCAGCAAAGTCATGTGTCCCCCCTCCAAAGATATAAAAAAGCCGTCCATTAATCGACTAATGAAATATGAAAATGTTTATTGGCCATTCAATCTTCCAAACTGCAGTTCTATAATCCACCTTACCGACATACAGCTCTACCAGCAAGAATTTATACCAGAGCTGCCTCTTTTTTATGATGCCTTCATTATATTTGTCTTGTTAGATACAGTTTATATATTTATTTCATGAGTGAGGGGCCCACGCATTCAATGCACAATTCAATGCATTTTGCACAACATTCACCTATTACTGCCCACATGGAAACATCTCCCAAGGTTTGCCTGGGAAGGAGACTTTCACTCAGCCAGCAAATGGGGCTGTGAGGCCAGCAGCACCCTGGGACCACCAGGGGCTGGCTTGGCTGCAGACCTGCTAGGGCAGCAGCTCTCAGGAGGTGCCTGCAGGAGCACCCTGCCCTGCCAGTCCTGTCCCAGCCCTCCCCACTGGCGCTGGGGAGATGGCTGCCCCTCCACTTCGTAATTCTCTCCCTAACCTTCACTACTACTCCACTAGTGATCAAGCTTTTCACAACGAAAAAAGGTGCACTTAGTAACACAGGTAACAGAAACCTGCATTTTTCTGCTGAACACCAGGCTCATGATTAATAGTAGGCCAGAGATAACCACCAAGCATCTCTTCCCAGAACCACGCTGAGCTCTCAGAACACCCTCTTCACATATTTGCTCATCACTGACTGCTCCAAGCAGACACCAATATCCCTGCAACTGGAACAAGGAAGAAAAATGGAGCCTGGGCTCAAGGGGCTGTAGAGACTGATTTACAAGGGAAGATTAAAGGAGCTAAATCTGTGCTGCTTGGCTAAACAACAACTAATGGGGGAGGGCGGGATGACAGACTAGACATCAGGGGGGAGCTGCCACGGGCCCAGGGATGGCTGCTCTCTCCTGCCCAGCCTCTCTGTCAGAGCGAGCAGGCTCAGGGAGCACCACACCAGCCTGGGGACCCCCACTGCCACCGGGCACAGCAGGTGAGTGAAGCTGGGCAGCTCTGGCACAATGCAGAGCTCGGGGCCCCACTGCACCTCCACTAGCTCCCCTCACTCACAGCGCTGCCACCCAGGAGCAGAGGGAACCCCTCACCTGCAGCTCAGCTCCTCCAGCCAAGGACAAGGGTGTCCACAGCAGCCCGACCCAAAGGGAAGGTGGACAAAAAGCTGACCTGCTAAGGAAAACAGTTGCCCCGTCCTGAAAGGCTACAACCAGGAATTTTACAAAGCCATTAATTACTTAATAATAATTAAATCAAAATTAAATGTGAACAGAGGTGCACTTTCCTTATTAAAAGCAATTAAACAGGAAGCACAGATACACAAATAAAAAATTACTCTGGGGCTGGAAAGGAGAGAAAATCAAATAAAACCTAGCCCATAATAAAGGCACACTCTGTTTGCTCCAACACATAAAGCTGAAGTTCATCAATTTTCTTTAAATATTAGCAACTTAATTAAATCTGCTTTTTTCCCTTTAATCCTCTCCTCTATCTAAAATAGATCTGTCCACATGCAGAAGTTTGTAACTAGTGCTGACCCCATAATTCTATTTAAAAAACCCAAAGAAATCCACATCAAACTGACAGCAGCCTCAGGGGAAATTACAGTTCAGAAGGAGGATTAACTAGAGAACCCAGATTTTATGGAAATGGTATTGGCCCTTCGAAAAGCACATGTAGGTGTGCACGAGGAGCCCATGGAGGGCAAGCCCCAGCCGCACTGCAGGGAGCCACGGGCCCCAGTGCAGGAAGGCTCCCAGGCCCACAGGCTGTGCCAGGAGGGCTGGCACACTGCCCTGGGAAACCGGGGGCCATCCCAGCCCTGGCCGCTCCAGGTGGGTACTGCAGGGCTCCCCAGCTTCTCAAAAGCCCAGGGAAAAGCCTGGTCCCTGGCTGCCTTCAGCCCTCAGGAGTAATAGTGGTAGGGAATGGTTCCAGCACGGGCTGGCTGTTTATTCTGAGCAGGACGGGTGACGTGGTGAACGATGTGGAGAGGGGCTGTAAAACGGGTTAGTTGTAGGTTCCCGGGTCTGTTTTGGAGATGAGGCGGTTGCTAGGCTACCTTTGGAGCCTGACAGGGCCTGATGCTTCCAGTCGCTCCCCAGGGGAGCTGTGAATCAGCTGCACGGCGCCGGGCGCGGCGGCAGAGCGCGGGTTTTGCCGCTCG